TTTTTCAACGTTTTTATTTATTTTTGGGACAGAGAGAGACAGAGCATGAACGGGGGAGGGGCAGAGAGAGAGGGAGACACAGAATCGGAAACAGGCTCCAGGCTCTGAGCCATCAGCCCAGAGCTTGACGCGGGGCTCGAACTCACGGACCGCGAGATCGTGACCTGGCTGAAGTCGGACGCTTAACCGACTGCGCCACCCAGGCGCCCCGAAACAAATGTTTTAAAAATCTAAGAGGCAAAAGCAAGTTAACCGATTTATTTAACATAGAACACTTATTGACATAGGTTTTGGTGTCATTTCCTTAGTGAAAGCCTATCCAAGACTGTGAATAAGTGGACTGTCACATTTTTATACCTTCCATGTATTTTCCCTTCAGTGTTCTCAATTCATGTGTTTTATAAATGAGAATAAATTGTTACATGTTTTTCATTGCACTGGGTTAGCAAGAGGAAAATACAGCTCATACACCTTGTCAGGATTCTTTTTAGATTAGATCTAGGAAAGGTTCTTGAAGATCTTCTGCCTCCATACACCTCAACTTTATGACTTTGAAAATCTCAGTTGCTTCCTGACATATTTAAAAATTTTAACTCCAGTATAGTTAATATACAGTGTTATATTAGTTTCAGGTGTACGATATAGTGATTCTGTACATCACCCAGTGGTCATCATGACAAATGCACTACTTAACCTATCACCTATTTCACCCATTCCCCTCACCCACCTCCCCTCTGATAACCACCAGTTTATTCTCAATAATTAAGAATCGGTTTCTTGGCTTCTCTCTGTCTCTCACTTTCCCCTTGCTTATTTGTTTCATTTCTTAAATTCCCATATGAGTGAAATCATACGGTATTTGTCTTTCTCTGACAGACTTATTTCACTTAGCATTATACTCTTGAGCTCCATCCATGTCATCGCAAATGACAAGATTTCATTCTTTTTGTGGCTGAATAATATTCCAGTGTGTGTGTGTGTGTGTGTGTGTGTGTGTGTGGATATGGATATGTATGTATGTGTATGTGCATATGTGTATATATATATACATAAATTTTCTTTATCCATTCATCAATGGATACTTGGACTATTTCCATAGTTTAGCTAGTTTAAATAATGCTGCTGCAAATATTGGGGTATGTGCATCCCTTTGGATTAGTGGTTTTGTATCTTTTTAAAAAATATTTATTTTGAGAGAGTGTGAGTGTGTGGGGGTGGGGGAGAGAAGAGGGAGAGAATCCCAAGCAGGCTTTGTGTTGTGAGCACAGAGCCCGACAGGCGCTGGATCCCATGAACCGTGAGATCATGACCTGAGCCAAAATCAAGAGTCTGCTGGTCAGCCAACTGAGCCACACAGGTACCCCTGTATTTTTGTATCTTGAGGGTAAATACCCAGTGGCACCATTACTGGATAATATCTTAGTTATATTTTTAACTTTTTGAGGAACCTCCAACTTGTCTTCCACAGTGGCTGCACCAGTTTGCATTCCCACCAACAATCCAGGAGGGTTACTTTTTCTCCACATCCTCACCAACATTTGTCAGTCCTTGTGTTTTTGATTTTAGCCATTCTGACAAGTGTGAGGTGTTATTTTGCTTCCTGACATTTTAAAGCATAATCATCTATTAAAGTTATATCCTGGTAGAAGGTTAGACTGATGCCTAAAGAATGGAATGTGTGTGTCAAGCTTCACTAAGACCTATATCAATGAGAGATAGGGATCTAATGCCACACTAAAGGTTATTGCCTGAAACCAATAAAATATGACATCAAATAAAGTGTCATTTCAAGTTGCACTTGTGAAATAAGCATATATATGTTTTAAGACAAAATTTCATTGTACTGTGTTAGCATTACAGCCATGTGAAGTGTGTTTATGGGCTCTCCTAGTGGGAGATTGGGGATGCTTGCTTTATGAAACAACAATTTTGTATACTCAAGACCAGAAGTTGATTCAACTTATTGGATCTGCTAAAAAAAATTCAGTTAGAAATAACCCAATCTGGGGTTAACTACATTTATATTCATTATATAACATTTTACTAAAGCCCAGTACATCAGTTGATTAGCAACTAGAAGGGGTTGATGACAAGTAATTTTGTTTACTTGGACCTACTTGTTTACTAGGAACTATGCAAAATATTATTCCCTTTGTAACTTTGAAGATTGATGTTACATTTTGTAACCAGGAAAATAATTCTTCAATAGAAAGGAGGGGGATAGGCTAACTCTTCCTGGGTATCGTAACCTTTTGGGTGTTAAATAAAAGGACTTTTTTCTAGCATAGTATTGTGTTTGGTGGTATTTTGCATAAATTGGGCTGTGCAATAGTGTGGAAGTATGTTTCATATATTTTGCAGTGTTCAGATGTACAATCACTTGAGAAGACAACAACTGATACTTGGTGAGGCAGAAATATGATTATCAGGTATTTTGAAAAAGAATATCCCCAAATTCATTAGATACTTAAAAATATTTTTCAAAAAAGGAAAGTGACCTAAACTCAGTATGCTACTGCAATTGAATATCCTAGGGATTATTTTATCAATTGAGCTCATCATGTGATGTTCAATTTAAGCACAGAAGTGGGAGCCAGAACCTCACTGCAGTAGACCACGGTTAGTGACCTTGTGTTGCAAGTCAAACTATATTTCCCTGCTAACTTTCAAGGTTGATGTTATATTTTATAACCAGGAAAATAATTGTGCAATGCAAAGGAGGAATAGGCTAATGTTTTTCCAGCTGTCATTTTCTTAAATGGGTGACATGTAGGTCATATGATACTACTATAAAGAAATTGCTGAAACTATTTTGAAAGAAAAGAGGGTTTAGAGGTAAATATAAATTGTGCCCTTTTAAAGACAATTTCAGCATTACTGATGCTTTCTGAAAAATTGAAATGAATCAGCATTGAGGTACCCAAAAACTAATGAAATCAGGAAAAACGGGAATAAGGAAAGAAGGATAAAACTTTACTCATATTACTATTCAAAATTACTGTATTCTGAGATCATTTAGGCCAAGTATGTGTTATAGTAATCTTTCTATTACAGTGCGGATTTGAGATGCATGTCAACATGTTGATTACCCTAAACCCTGGAAATTTGGGATAACTATGTAGTTAATAGTGCAAATTAATCGTCATTAAATATATGAACATATAAAAATAATTTGTTCAGTTAGGCGCTGGATTGTGATTATTGTAGCTGGTTAAACTGAAGCAGCAGGGGCTGCAGTTTCCCAGTGCGGACTGTGGGCGCCGCTGTTGGCCAAAGTGCAGAGCTTGGGCACTGGCCATCTTCTCGCGCAGCCGCA